GGTGGCTGCCATAGGAGAAGGGGTGGTAGGTGTTGGTGGCTGATCGCAGCTGCCTTCAGTAGGTGCTTGGTGGAAGGGTTTTACTCAGATGTGGGAGATGGCCTCCTGCTCATTTCCCTCGGGGTGCTCCGATGTGAAGTGTCAGATTTGGGGAACATTATGGAAGATGTGGTGAACCCCATCCCTGGTGAGGCTGGTGGGTGCTGGGAGAAGCCCAGGAATAGTCCATGGGAGCCTGTGAGGTGGGTGAGCAGACGATGGCCACCAGCACAGCCCCTATTCCCCCAACGTGGTGAAACTGCGACTGTCATAGAATCACAGAACTTTTCAAGTTGGAAGGGACCCATAAGGATCATCGAGCCCAACTCCCTGCTCCTCCAAGGACTGCCTAGAACAGTCTTGAAGACCAGGGAGGTCTTCGGGCGTTGGTGATGGACACACACATCACCGCGGTGTGGTTAGAGGACAGCTCTGTTTGCCAGGGCAGGGATCAGGCTGACAAAATAAGAGGTAGAAAAGCACAATTTTGTACCTGGAGGGTGGCTTGTTTAATTGCAAAGATGTTTTTTTGCTGTTCCAGCAGAGCTGCACTTTCACGTGCTCGTCGCACATGGATGGGATGGCGGGCTTCCATCCTGCAACGCTGCCTGTAGCACTTGGCCCAAAAAATCACATAAATTCATCGAACTTGACCTGCTGATCAGAGGCAATATCTAGAAAGCACTGCAATAATTTGCCCCAAACCAGAACTTTCTTTCGAAAGACCCTTTTTAAAAATTTCTTCTTTTTTTCCATTTCTTTTAAAATTATGATTGAATTGCCACGTTATTGGCACCATGTTGTGATCCTTGCAGCCCCCAAGATATTGGGGTTGTTCTTGGGAGTGGCTGAAACTCTGACCCTGTCTGTGCCTTGCTTTGCAGGAGGTGTACCGCATCCCCAAGAAGAGTCAAGCAGAAAAGGAGAACAGCGGTATGTACTCACATTTTCCCATATATTGCTCCCACTCCTATGAAACCACTTAATTTTCCCTCTCTGGGATGGCAAGGGATGCTCTGCCTTTGTAGCATTCCTACTCCTTGAAAACGGTTCCTGTAGATAGGGAGGATCATCTAAGCACTGGGTGATTCAGAATGTAGCCCTGAGGCTGATACGGGGCAACCTCGAACTTGTTTGAATGAAGACTCTGTTGACTAACAGAAGAAATACTCTGAATTTTAAACATTTTCTCCCTTTTACCCGTTTTCCCCAACAGCTGACCGTGGGAGAGAGCCAGCCGGCCACAGGGATCAGACTCCTACTCCGAAGAACCCCGTCCTGAGCAGAGAGCGGGATCCCGAGAGGCAGAGCCAGAGCAAAGAGAAGAAGAGACGGAGAGACTCGTTGTCCCCTCCATCCTCGGCGTACGAGCGAGGAACCAAGAGGCCGGAGGACAGGCAAGTGGTCTGGCAACGATGGTGGCAGGGCTGAGGATCGGGCTGTTGGGCTGGGAACATTGCATCTGTGGTAATCCTGGGTTAAAACTCTGGGAAAAATGGTCCTGGTGATTTTTGAAAAAAACACAGGGATGGGGAAGAAAATTTCCTCCTGGAGGAATCCCGTGTGCATGGTGAGATGGATTCCCTGGCTGGCGTTGGGTGGCTGCTTGGCGTTGGGTGGCTCCTTGGTGTTGGGTGGCCTTCCCTCTCGGATACCCTACACCTTCCTCTTCAGATACCCTACACCTTCCTCTTCAGGCACATTTTGGAAATTAAATGGGTGATGAGGGAAGCTATCCAGCCCTTGTGCAGAAACAAGGGTTGTAGCCCTCCTTGTGCAAAGAGGTCTTCTGAGTCCTTCAAAACCCCTTCCCTTCTTCTTCTCCACTTTCCTCAGTGCACTCAGGGATTATTCTAAATTTAAACTTAGAACCAGCCCATGCCCGTACAAGAGCTGACAGTCCCCGAGCCAAACAGGATTTCCAACACAAAACAACTTCCTTGACCAACTGAGAGCAGCTGTGGCTGCCCAATCCCTGGAGGGGTTCAAGGCCAGGCTGGATGAGGCTTTGGGCAACCTGGGCTGGTGGGAGGTGTCCCTGCCCATGGCAGGGGGTGGCACTGGATGGGCTTTAAGGTCCCTCCCAACCCAAACCATCCTGGGATTCTATGGTAACATGCCCCAAAGCCATTGACCGCAAGGTCCAGGTCAGTATGATCTCACCATGCTGGTGCCGTGTCTCCTGCCTTCCCCTGGGAGCGGTGGCATCACGCTGCCTCGCCTGTGAAGGTGTCTCTTAAGTTTCAAAGACCTTTGGCTGGTTTTACTTTGTGTTTCTTCATTGTGGGCACTCCGTCGCCCAACGGATTCCCACCTACCCTGTGTACGTTCTGCAAGTGATGGATACAAGGGAGTGTGGGGACTTTAAATTGAATTACATCCTGTTAAAAAAAGGATTTTTAAACACCGATTGTCCAGGGAAACAAGGCACGAAGTCTTTAAGCTCCAGTGATAGTATGAAATACTTTAAATTATAGATGCTGAAGATGAAGTAGAAAATAAAAGCGACCGGTTTGTGTTGGAGCAGCACGAGTTTTGCTCCTCCATGTGAAATACTTCTGCTGACCGGGTCTGGTGGGATGGATGTTTAGGAGAGGAAAGATAAGGGCGGGATAACTGCACTGTAGACATCTTCTGTCTTGCTCTGTTGACTAGTTCAAGGATCAAGCAGAAAGAGAGAATATTTTTGATTATTCGCCGTTCTCCCAGATTTTAAATGAGAATCGGATCCATGCAATGCCCCTGGCAGCCACCCCAAGCTGCTGTTTCCTTGTCCTGCAGACTCAGACCATCGCTTTTAGCACGTCCGAGCCCGCGCCTGCTCCCGGAGCGATCCTCCAGCATCCCGCCAGCGTGCGGCCAGGCCCGGAGGAGCCATCGAGGTGACGGTGGTGGTGGGGCTGGGCCAGGGCAGTGCATGAATCAGCGGCTGCTTGATACCAGCTGCTCCTTTTCCTCCCTCGAAAGTTGCTTTTTAATTAAGAGAAGGAAAATATTACGTCTTGCCTTTCAGGGAGACCTCAGATCATGTTAAAGGCGGTAAGAATACCCAGGAATTTCCTTTCAATAAGTCAGTTTTCTGTTTTCCCTCTTAAAGAGGATCTTAAGCCACTCAGTAATTAGGGAACAATGGGTGGTGAGTCAGCCAGACGAGGAAACTTTTGTCTTCGTATTGAGCTGCGCTGCTAAACCTAAAAACATCTGGATAAAAAAGAAGATGTAAATCTATACGGCTGTGATGAGCCGTTTGGAGGATGGAAACATCACCCGAGGTCTTGGGGGTAGAAGTGGAGCTGAGGAACGGTGGTGTGTCGAAAGATAGGAAGAAGGATGGAATAAATTTATTTTTTTAAAGTTATTTTAAACAGAACAAGCTTTCCTGCTCTGGCTCTTCCCTCCTGCAGCTGCGTCCTTGTTGCAGGAGAAGGACCGGGGTGCTGGCATCCTTCTGGAGGGATGCTCTCCCTGCTCTGGCTGTCCCCCTTCATTATTAGGACAAAATAATAAAATAGGTGGAGAGAGGAGCGGAGTAAATACAAGAGCATCGCTGGCTTGTTGTGTGCTAAACCTTCCGTTTCCTTCTGCCTTCCCTCCACGCCGGCTGCCTCTTGTGTAAACTCTCCAGGCAGTGCCGGGAAAGACTTTAATGGAACTCTTCGCGTCAATAAGGTTCGCATTAACGGATCCTCGCAGCTACGCCGGGAATGCGACAAAACATCTTAAGTGTATCAGTTGGTAGCAATGTGCTTTTGATATGTAAAGGGAACGCACGAACATAGAGTGAGCGTATAGAGAATGTACTGGGTGCTTTGTAGAATCCATTAGGTTAGGGCTGCAAAGCATTTTTGCTTGCAATCCCTGTTTTACCACTCTCATAACTTCTCAAAATAGCCACCTTTGATCTGAAATTTTCTGTGGTTGAGGTCTGATCAAAGTCCATAGGCTTTTTTTTTTTTTTTTTCCCCCTTCTTTACCTCCTTGGAAAAATCCCTCCAGCTGCTCTGTGTCTCTTGGGACGAAAATTCTTATTCATAAAAAAAAGAATGAAAAAACCTCCATCCACACTTTATTATTTTTTTAAACTGAATCTGTGGTCTAGTAAATACCATCACTCTGAACAGAAACGTGCTGTTTGGAATTCCCTCGTTCTTCGTCATGTCTGCAAACACGCCTGTGTCTGCAGCAATGATGTGGGGGGTTGGAACAGTCCTTGGGCAAGAAAGATGGGGTGCTCTCCCCATCGCTGAGCTGCTCTGGGCTTCAGGGGTGAAGATGCTGTGGTGTGAGCTGAGCCTCTTCCAAACCCCTTCTTCCTTGGTCCCACTTTGGGAAACGCTGGCAGAGGGTCTCCAGGGTACCTGGCCTGCTTGGGGGGCACCTTGTTTGTTTTTCCCTCTCCTTGGGTTCCCTGCTAGCCCTGGAGATGTTGCCTCCCCTCTCTGGGTATCTCGGGGATGTCTAGCAGGTCCGTCCTCCAGACTATTTCTTGGCACGTCCTTTAGCTTCAGCGCTGAACTGAAGTTGGTAAATCCAATGGGACTCAGCTAATCCTCTGCCCTGGCTCCTTGCTCGTGGACGAGCAAGACCAGCAGATGTTTCTCCTGAGTTGCCATGGTTGGTCAAGCAGCTTTAAAAAAAAGAGTGTTTTTAGGAACTGGTGCTGCTGTTGGGCATTTGGGCTCTCCTCCCAGGTCTATGTGCCATCGGTGGTGGTCCTTTTGCTGCCAGTGCCCCAGACCTGCAGGTTTCTGAGGTCTCACGAAGCCTTTTCTTCTCTGCTCTCCCAGGTATGACACACCAGCACCTTCGAAGAAGAAAGCCCGGCTTAAGGATCGCAACAAGCTATCCACAGAGGAACGTAGGAAGCTGTTCGAGCAGGAGGTCGCCCAGCGGGAAGCCCAGAAACAGCAACAACAACTGCAAAACCTGGGGATGACGTCCCCCCTGCCCTACGACTCCATGGGCTACGGCACACCCCACCACAGCTTTATCGGCTACCCGCCTGGCTACCCCATGCAAGCCTACGTGGACCCCAGTAACCCCAACGCTGGCAAGGTGCTGCTACCCACGCCCACCATGGATTCCGTGTGCTCGCCGGCGGCGTACGAGCACCCGCAGACTTTGGTTGGGCACACGGTGGAACCCACCCTAACGACTCCTCAGCCCGTACCAGTAGTCCAACATGTAGCAACGACGATGGAGGTGACAACTCCGCAGTATGTAGCACAAAGCGACACTGTGGTCCATCAAGAACCCAACGTGGCCGTCCTACCCGTGGCCACGCCAGGACCGGTGCAGAGCCAGAGTTACGGGGTCTGGGATTCCAGCCAGCAGACTGTCGCTGTACAACAGCAGTACTCGCCAGCCCAGTCCCAACCCGCCATCTACTACCAAGGACAGACCTGTCAGACTGTTTATGGTGTGACATCCCCTTACTCACAGACAACCCCACCGATTGTACAGGTAATTTCCATTTCGGACACGGTGTGGCATGAAACACCCGCAAAACAAAGGCTGCCAGCCTGCAGCTGGGAAAACCACTTTATTTTTAATATCAGAGCATCCTGCTTTGATCTGATATTAAGCAATTATGTTATTTTTTCATTGTTGATTCTGGTGAATGGATATTTCTGGCTAAGAGATTCCACCGTCACTAAGGAAGCAGTAAAACGCAGAGGTGTGAGCTTGCCTTTAGTAGACTTTTGGAAGTAGGATCTGGAGCTACCAGCTCTTCTATGGCTTAAACAAAAAAACCCAACAGGTCAACCTTCTTTGATCCATTTTCTCTGAATTACATATCCCATTCCATCGGGCTCAGCCTGGAGCTCCGAATCACAGAATCACAGGATGGTTTGGGTTGGAAGGGACCTTAAAGCCCATCGAGTTCCACCCCCTGCCATGGGCAGGGACACCTCCCACCAGCCCAGGTTGCCCAAAGCCTCATCCAGCCTGGCCTTGAACCCCTCCAGGGATGGGGCATCCACAGCTTCTCTGGGCGATCTGGGCCAGTTGACCCCATTAGAGTGCCTTCTCCTTGTGCTTTGTCTTCATTAACAAGGTTATCAGCATTCAGTGTCTTGCCAATGCCTAGTTTTTCCAAAAAACAAGATGTAAGCTTGAAGATCGTTTGCTTGAACCCCACCTTGGTCACTAGTTATTGCTCTTTGGTTTGGATCTTAGTTTCCATTAGTCCTCGAGTACTGTTATCTTCTTCTTGCCTCCGCTATGTGAATCCCGGTAAGGGAAGCTGGACCGTGTCCTCCAGTAAAGGGTTTGTTGGTCAAGCAAGCTGACTTGTGATTCTCCGTTTCAGAGTTACGCCCAGCCAGGTCTCCAGTACATCCAGGGCCAACAGATCTACACGGCTCATCCGCAGGGAGTCATCGTGCAGCCGCCAGCAGCGGTAACTACGATCGTCGCAGCCGGGCAGCCGCAGCCCATCCAGCAGGTGAGGCTTGGGGGGGTCAGAAGGGATGGAGAGCATTTGTCTACATCTGCTCTGGGTTTGCGTGATTCTCCGTGACCTCCGGACGCTGTGAAAGCACTGGTGGCACCAGCAGGAGGAGTTTCCCATGCTGGCACCCTTCGGGATGCTGCTCTCCAGTCTGGATGTGGGCATCAGACGCGATTTTGGGGGTTTTGAGCTCAGATCCTGTTGTCTTCAGGCTTTCTACCAGCACATCCGAGAAGGCTGGGTATGGGTGGGCATGTGCGTTCACCGCTGATGCTCCTCCATCAGAAATGGTGGTTTTGGCGTCTGCCATGGAGGATTTCAGAGCATGAGTGGCAAAGCGGTTGCATTATATGCTCAGGGTGTGGTCAAGTGGGTGCTTGGGGTATATGATGAAGAACTAGGGTAAGACATTGTCCTCGTCACTTCTTGGGCCAACGCTAACGTTGGTTTTAGGTTTGACCTTCGACAAAGTCTTTGTCGTGGGGGAAAGAGCTGTTGGAGCTGCTCTGACCACTCTCATCACCACTCACATCTTTCTCTTCACCCTTTTTGTGCTATTTTCAGCCAGAGCTTGTGGTGACCAATAACCTCCTGGACTTGCCTCCACCATCCCCTCCAAAACCCAAAACAATCGTCCTCCCGCCCAACTGGAAAACAGCGCGAGATCCAGAGGGGAAGATCTACTACTACCATGTGGTAACGAGGTGGGTGTGATAACGAGGCGGGTTTCATAGCGAGGTGAGCATGATGGCTGCTTCGGGGCCGGAGTTTGGCTCAAGCAGAGGAATTGGGTGGAAGAGAAATGGATCTTTACCCCTTGGCGTCTAGTTCGTGGAGGCTTCGACACACGTGCGAGCGTTGCGATGGGCACGCCGTATGAGGAGGAGGTCTTTGGTGGCTCAAGGATCCGCTATGATCCATGGTGTGAGGTTTTCTCACCCTCTTTTTTTTTCATCTTCGAATCTTTGATCCATTCTGGAGCAAGACATGGAGTTTCCCAGGGTTTTCCCCACATCTTTGAGATCGATTTTGGAAAGCACCGGGTGTTGGATGAGTACCTCTGAATTTAGCTAAAATGAGTGTTAGGAATTTTTGACTTCTGAAAATGATATTTTCTTAAATTTCAAACTTCAAATGATGTCTGCATGGGGATCCACATCTCTGAAGGGTTAAGCCTGAGGATTTTCTTACGAGTCCTGACTCTTGGTATCAGTGATTGTTACTCACACACGTTCTCTGTATCAATCGATCTTTTCAATGTCCTGCTCAGACTCCTTCCTGCCATCTTACACATCCAGAGCTGCACCAACAGCAGAGCAGGAGACCTTCAAACCCCAGGAGAAAAACCAGTCGAGCAGGAATTTGTGATTTGTGCCGTGGTTTGGAGGTCTTGCAGTGAGATGAGGAGACCCACCGAAGCCTTCCCCCTTGGCGAGGAATGCCTCCTCCGTGCCACTAATTGAATCTAATTAATTGTGAATTTTTTCGAGGAACACATGCTGGAAGATTTCTTTCAGTCTTTCTTTTAACTGTGTATCTTCCAACAGGATGAGGCTGGTAGAGGAAAGGAAATCTTATTTCTTGGTACGCTTTCTTATTTTAATATTTGATTTGATGTACAATCCAATCGATAGTGGTCTGAGGTCAGGGATACTCAGCAGTGTTCGGAGAATTCAGTAGCTGAAGCTCCTGGGGGCTGGTTGAAACAAGACTTTCATGTTCCCCCAGTGTTTCCTGAAAAGTAAAAACCTTTGAAAGTGGGACAGGGTTTCTGATACAGGTCAGAACACCCAGAAACTCAAACCAGCGACTCCTTTTGATGCAGGTTTTCATTTATTTTTTTATCGTGCTGAAGAGTGCACGTTCTGGCTTCACGCAGAGTTTAGAGACGGAAAACAGTTGCTGTGTTAGGTCACCTCCAGCCCTAACGTGGGCTGCTGGAGATGTGTCCCCTTTGCATCCCTCTTCTTCAGTCTGCTGGTGAGTCTGATGGAGAGTCCTGTAGTCCCGCAGAGGCAGCAGTCTGGCCCGCCGTCCCCCATTTCTCCTGGTTGTCCCCCTCCCCTGGGCTGTGGTTTTCCTCCCAGGCACCATCCTGTGTCTGCTCTCGCATGCTGACAGCTGCTCGCTCCCCTCTTCCCAACCTTGGGGAAATCCAGACCAGTTCTCCCCATCCAGCCCCAGTGGGAGCTCTTCCCCGGGCGTTGGCCTGACGAGCCCAAGCAGGCTCCGATGGCTTCTTCTAGCGTATGGATGAGCTTTGTGGCATCCACCCGTCCGTCCTTTCACGCTCCTGCTCATTCTGGTGGCTTTTCTCAAGACTTTTGGTCTTCCATCCTTTCCTTTCCTGTGGCTGAGCCCTTGGCTCGAGCTGCCCAGGGCTGATTTTTGCTTTTGTGACGCCAGGATCTCCGACCTTCTTTATTTCATACCTGTGACAAACTTCCCTTGATGCCATGTGGAGTGTCACTAGTGATAGAAAATGGTGGAAATTCCCTTTTTTGAGTTCTTTTTACTTGGCTTTAACCTTCTCCAACTCAGAAGCCTACTCAAGCTCATCATTAATTGCAAGCCAGGACCATGAGTTACACCCCTGGCAAGAGTTTTGATGACTGATGGAGACCAGATGTCCCAGCTGATGGACAGTCGATGAGTGACGGTGGTCTGTCTGTCTGTCTGTCTCTCTTCCTCCAGGCAAACCCAGTGGGACCCTCCTACCTGGGACAGCCCAGGCGATGACGCCAGCCTTGAACACGAAGCTGAAATGGACCTTGGGACCCCAACGTATGATGAAAACCCCATGAAGGTAAGAGTGGGGCCAGCGGGGGAAACTTGGTGTTAACGTCTCTTGGACAGATCGCGGGGATAATCCTGTTCCATGGAGCAGGAGCAGCAAACGCCTGTGCTTTCGTTGAGGTTGGTGTGGACATGGGGGAGTGACAGAGGGACAGAAGTGACCCGAGATAAACCATAGTGGCCATACTGACCGTAGGACCACTGGTTTTTCGTACTTTGAAGTAATGGTAGAGGACTAATGGAGTTAAGTTGGTCTTTTTTTGCCACTCTGAAATCCCTGATGAAATATCAAGAGCAGCTTCCCCAGGTTTTGTCCTGGTGACGAATAGTCAAGCAGAGATTTTTGTGGTGCTCTCACCTCCTCGTCCTTCTGGGTGCTGGTTTGGGTAAAGACCCCACTGCTCCTTTCGGGCTGTGCCGTTCACGGCTTGGGTGAACGTGGGACATCCCTGGGTGATGGCCAACGTTCTGCCCTGGATGCCAAGCGTCGCTGCGACCTGGTGTGCGGAGACGACCAACTGGCCAAAAAAAGGGACGTGAGTGGGGATAACGTTGAAATAGGAAAAAAACTAATGGTGCAGAGGAACTGGGAGCTCCGTGGTGCTTCCAGCCTTCCTCTTGTGGCTTTTTTTGTGGGTGCCATCACTCCTGCTGTCAATGGTGAGACCTGAGAGGTCGGAGCTGCTCTCCACACGGGGCTTGATTTCCAGTTAGGTCCTTCTGTGGCCACATCTCTCCCAGCGCTCAGTGGGAGGGGATTTGGCTAAGCCTCCCTGGAGGACACGTCTGCCGTCGGTGTGGGGTTCCAGCCCTTGCGAAGCCGGGAGGGCAGAGTCCGAGCAGCGGTTGCTGAGCCCCTGTAGATAAATCACCCTATAGACCTTTCTGATTCCCTAAAAAGAGAAGAGCTGTGGAAAGAAAGGTTTGTTGGGTTATAACTCTCAGGGACATACTCTCTTAATGCCTCTGAGCACTTCAGCCGGGATTCCTGGCGAGTTCACTCACATTATTTACAAATATTTATCTCCCTGTAAAAAAATTAGAAAATGAACTGAGACCTGGCACATGGAGCCTTTCCTTCTGCAGATAAATCCAGAAAAACCTGTTAAATGATTTTTGTCCCTGGGTTGGTACCCTGCTGGCATCCCCTGCCGTTCCGGGACCTCTGGGTTTGGGAGCTGCCGTGACCTTGGGCTGTGCTGCTCCGGCTGATGCCTCGCTTTATCGTGCTCACCAAAAGCCTTTAAAACCGGGCTCGTGCAGCTTTATGAACTCAGGCTGAAAAAGCAACAACCATTCCTCATTTGCCCATTTTCTACAGCGTGTTTCGCTTTGATAGGAAGATTTTTCCATGTGCTTGCCTCGGGCTGGGTTGTAAATTGCCGTTGAAGGATATGGGCATGCAAAGCGAGACACGAGAACCTATTTATCCAACAGACTTTCATTTCAGGCTTTAAGGCGAGGTTTTATTAAGCTGGAATAGCCCTAAACTGCAGCCCCATGGGGGGATTTGCTGCTCTTGCTGTCTGAGCGAAAGACCAGCCTGGAGATGTTGGGGAACATCCCTGTGATGAGAAGAAGGTGCTGAGAAGAAGGTTAAGATCTTCGGAGCGAGAAAATAGAGTTGTGCTGGGGCTTTGCAGCTTGGGAATAATTTTCTTCCTGACTTTCAAGCGTCTCAGTGCCTGCGACTGCAAAGGGAGCAGCAAGGGAAGATGCTTCTGTAAATGCCAGAAAGCTTTTACACGCTGTCCTTTGGGATAAAAAAAGTGCTGAGGACAGGGGAGATGCTCACTCAGACCCCCCAAATCCCTCTTTTCAGGTGCGAAACTCCTCTGAAGCCATCAAGACTTTGTTCCTAAATTACCGCCCGCAGCTTTGGCTGACCTCACTTTAGAGCTTTCAATTTTGGCCAGGATCGCCCCAAGGTTGGGCTTTATCCGGCCGTGGAAATAACGTTGAATTCCCATGCGCTCGTAGCTCGCGGGCCGCCTCCACCCTGAAATTCCAGCCACATTCCTTGGATTTTTTTTTTTACCCTCCTCCTCCCCACCCTGCACCTTTTCCAACAGGGATTAAACCCTCCGGCATTGCGGCTCCGGCCGTCCGACAGCTGCTGCGGCTATTCCTGGTGTCCCCCAGCTCGTGATGCCAGCAACCGGGGGATTTTATTTCCTCCAGAGCGTGTTCAACACACTTCCGAGCATCAGCTTCTCCCTTTCTGATACCCCCCAAGCCCCGGCGTGGCCGGTGTCGCCGTGGCGGGTGTCGGCGATGGCTGAGCTTGCCTGGGGCTCATGTGCCGGTGCAATAATTTTGATGGAGAGCCACAAGAGGCGCGCGAAGCCACGTTTGCTATTTCCCTTTAAAGCACGTTATAAAACCTGGTTTTTCCCCTGGAGAAGGGATTTCAGGAGAGTGTGGCCCAGCGAAGCGCTCAGGGAGGTTGGGAACGACACAGGGCTGGATGCTGAAGTTTTTTCATCCTTTTAAGATGCCAAAAGCTTGGATTTATTGTGTGGGTGTGTTTGTGTCCCTGCCCATGGGGGGAAGCTGAAGCCCTTTGATAAAGGAGTTTACAATGCTAAAATCAAGATTAATTTTGTGCTGGCTTGGGGAATTAAGAGAAATTGGGGTGTGCTGGTTAAACCGGGACTTGGGGACGAGGAATGCTTTGGAGATGGAGAAGGGTTCGGGGATGGGGAAGGGTTCGGGGATGGGGAAGGGTTCAGGGATGGAGAAGGTTTTGGGGACAGAGAATGGTTTGGGAATGGAGAAGGGTTTGGGGATGGAGAAGGGTTTGAGATGGAGAAGGGTTGGGGATGGAGAAGGGTTTGGGGATGGAGAAGGGTTGGGGATGGAGAAGGTTTCGGTGATGGAGGAGGGTTTGGTGCTGCCACTGTGCCACTGCCGTGCCGGGAGCCGGCCAGGAGCCATGTGTTCCCCATCACCAGCCCTTTGATGTCGGTCTCCGAGCCGCGGGCAGGGAGCGTTGAGCTTTGATGTGCTGCCGGCCCGGAGAAGCACCAGCGCTTGCTCGGGACAGCCCGACAAGGGGTGATTTAAGCCCCTCGTCGCCTTTTTTTTACAGGACTTTGCGGCTCTGCCCTCCAGCCTCAGGCAGGCGCATCTTTGGGGTTGGAAAGGGATGGGGTAGCTCCTGCTTTTTTCAGTGTTAAATACTTTAAAAAATCAGGTTTTTTAAAATTAAAAGAAATAGCAGGACACCTTCGAAGAGCAGAAGGAGAAGACAAACCTCCTTTGGCTTCTCCAGCCTTTAACAATCCCTTTTGCTCTCTCCATCCTTGAAATCCACATCGTGATAACCCGTGGTACCCAAACCTCTGCCAAAAACCAGCGCTGGAGGAGAGATTCCGCTTTTCGCTTTCTTTAGACTCCCAGGAGGTCGGGAGCAACACCTGCTGTGATGGGCGCGCGTGGGGAGGTGGGCGTTGAGCTGGTGGCGAAGGGATGCTCGCCGGGGTGCAGCGAGCGCCGTTCCTATTCCGTTAATCAGAGCAGCAGATTAAATCACCCGGTGCTTGTGCTATGCCGGGGGAACAGCCAGAAATTCCTTTAAAATTCACTTCATCCATCCATGATTGTCTAGAGCTAAGGATAACCTGCTGTAAATGCTCCCTGGTGGCGTCCCCACCCTCGCAGCGATTTCGGCACGCGGGTTGCGGTGTGCTGGCGGAGATGGTTGTGCCGCGGCCAATAGCTGCCACCGAACGCCTGGCTCACCCCCCTGGTCCAGCCCCACTCCCCCAGGACCAGCTCCTTCCCTTTTCCCAGATTTTTTTTTCCAAAGAAAACAAGAGTGAGGAGCGGTCCCTGCGCCTCCCCAGGGGCTGTGCTCCCAGCCCAGCAGCGTGGCTGGAGCATGCTGGGAATTGTGCTGGGCCTGGACTGGGGAGTGTGCTGGGAGCAGACTGGGATGTGCTCTGGAATTGCAGGATTGGGCTGGGAAGGTGCTGGCATCACGCTGGGGAGTGCAGTGGGACTGGGCTGGGAAGCGAGCCAGGATCAGGGTGGGGAGCCACCAGCACTGGGCTGGGAAGCTCACTGGGACCAGACTGGGAAACGCACCTGGATTGGGGTGGGGAGCGTGCCAGCATCGGACTGGGAAGCTCACTGGGACTGGGCTGGGAAATGTGCCGGCGTCAGGCTGGGAAGTGCACCAAGACTGGGCTGGGAATGGGTTGGGAAGCTCACCAGGACTGTCAGGATTGAACTGGGAAGTGTGCCTGGGTCAGGCTGTGAATCGTGTGGAATTGGACGGGGAAGTGCGTTGGGACCGGACTGGGACCGGTGTTGGGAATGGATTGGGAAGCTCACTGGGACCAGGCTGGGAGGCGTGCCTGGATTGGGCTGGAGAGTGCACCAGCACTGTACTGGGAAGCTCACTGGGAATGTGCTGGGAAGCAATCCAGACACTGGGACTGGGAAGCTCACTGGGAGTGCCCTGGGAAGTGTGCCGGCACTGGGACTGGGAAGCACGTGCTGCCTGCCTGGGTGTGGGGCAGGGCTGGGCAGCGGGATCGCTGTCCCCGAGGTGGGGACAGGGATGGGGAGAGCCCTGCTCATCCCAGGCAGCATCTAAATCCAGTTTCTTTTCCTCTTCCCAGTCTTCCAAGAAGCCCAAGACGGCGGAAGCGGACACGTCGAGCGAGCTGGCCAAGAAGAGCAAGGAGGTTTTCAGGAAAGAAGTGAGTTGGGTTTGTCACCATCCCACCCCGGTGACATAACCCCAGGGGATGCTGGAGGGGGGTGTCGGGGTTCCTAGTCCTGTGCAGGTGATGTGACTCTGGAGTGGGGGACCCCAGCACTTGGGGACATCGGGGATGGGGGTGACCGGATCCCTGGGGACATGTCACCCCGGGCATGGGGACATGTCACCCCGGGGAGGGGACCGGTGAGTGAGGGATTGTGTCCTGTCCCGCAGATGTCGCAGTTCATCGTGCAGTGCCTGAACCCCTACCGCAAACCCGACTGCAAGGTGGGGCGCATCACCACCACCGAGGACTTCAAACACCTGGCGCGCAAGGTGACGTCCCCGTCCCTGTCCCCGGGCTGGGGGGGATCATGGTGACCCGCTGCCAGCTCAGCCGGGGGGATATGGGTGGGGAAACAGTGATATCGGGGGAATATTAGCCAATATTTGGGGAATAACAGCTAATATTTGGAGATTAATAGCCAATATTTGGGGAATTTGGGGAATAATAGCCAATATTTGGGGAGTAATAGCCAATATGTGGAAATTAATAGCCAATATAGGGTAATAACAGCCAATATTTGGGGAATAACAGCCAATATTTAGGGTATAATAGCCAATATTTAGAGATTAATAGTCAAAAATTTGGGAGTTTGGGGAATAATAGCCAATATTTGGGCAATAATGGGAAGTATTCGGGGAATAATAGGAAAATAGCTCAGGGAATATTTGGGAAAAAAATGGCAAATATTAGGTGAATAGTAGTAAGTATTTGGGGAATAATGGCCAGCGTTTGGAAAATATTTGGGGAATAACAGGAAATATTTGGGGGAGTATTTGGGAATAATAGGAAATTTTGGGGGAATAAAAGGAAATGAGGTTGGGGAATATTTGGGGGGTAACAGCAAATATTAGGGGAATATTTGGGGAATAATAGCCAGTATTTGGGGAATAACATCACAATAGTTGGGGGAATCCCCAGCACTTGGATTACTGGGAATACTGGGAATAACGCTGGGTATTCCTGGCCCTGCAGCTGACCCATGGCGTCATGAACAAGGAGCTGAAATACTGTAAGAACCCGGAGGACCTGGAGTGCAACGAGAACGTCAAACACAAGACAAAGGAGTACATCAAGAAGTACATGCAGAAATTTGGGGCCATCTACAAACCCAAAGAGGACACGGACCTGGAGTAACCACCTCCTCCTTCTCCATCTCCTCCACCACCTCCTCCATCTTCTCCCTCTCCACCGTCTTCTCCATCTCCTCCACTATCTCCACTGTCTTCCATCTCCTCTATCTCCAGCACTTCCACCACCTCCTCCACTGTCTCCTCCACCATCATCCACCTCCACTATCTCCTGCACCTCCACCATCTTCTCCATCTTCACCATCTTCCATCTCCTCCACTTCCACCAGCTCCTCCATCTCCTTCGTCTCCATCATCTTTCATCTCCTCCACTTCCACCATCTTCTCCAACTTATCCATCTCCTCCACCTCCACCATCTCCACCATCTTCTCCAACTCTTCCATCTCTTCCACCTCCACCATCTCCTCCCAAATTCTCCATCCCCTCCACCTCCATCATCTTCTCCATCTCCTTCGTCTCCACCATCTTCCATCTCCTGCATCTCCTCCAGCTCCTCCACCTCCATCTCCACTCTCTCCACCCCACCAATGCCGGACGCCGCCAAACCTTGGACTCCCCGATTTTGCCACAGTTCAACCTTTTAAACCACCAACCTGTGAATTTCTTCATTTTTTTAAATTTTTAGTTCACTTTTTAAAGAACAGAAACCTCGTTCCCTACGGCGGGAGGCGGTTTATGCCGCCGGGGCGATGCGGAGGAGCAGCCGACCTTCGCGACGCCAGGCTTTCCCGGCTGCCCCGACCCCGGCGGTGCTGTCGGATGCGCGTCCCCTGCGTCACCACGCTCTGTATTATATTTTAACGTATATGTGAATATATTGATAATTTGGGGGGGGGGCTTTTGTTGCTTTTAGCCCAAGATGTGCCGATTCCACGGG